GGAGGAGGAGGAGGAGGAGGAGGAGGAGGAGGAGGTGGAGGAGGAGGAGGTGGAGGCGGAGGCGGAGGAGGAGGCGGTGGTGGTGGTCACTGCATAAAGGAAGCAATTCCCACTCCGAGCAACACGCACCATGACCACGACGACGCAGACGACAACCACGACGACGACGACGGAAACGAGGCGCGCAGACGATCCGCACCGAAGTACGGATTTGGGAAATGGCACATCCTGCAGGTTCGGTTAAACAGCACATGTTTGAGCGGTGCTGCAGCCTCCACTGAGCACAGGCCCCCCCAGAGCATCAGCCAGACAAGTCGGGTTTGCACTGGACCCTGGGCGCGTTTCGGCACTCTCTCTCCCAACCTCGTCAGGGCCACCGACAAGGGAGAGGGCGGCGATGGCCGACGCGTCCCTGAGCTACGAAGCTAAAAGCGCCGCGGCTCAGAGAGCTGGGAAGAGACAGACAGACGAAAGGACAGATAAACAGACAGCCAGGCGGCGGAGGAGGATGAGGAGGAGGCGGAGGAGGAGGAGGAGGCGGAGGAGGAGGGGAGGAGGAGGAGGAAGAGGAGGAGGAGGCGGAGGAGAAGAAGGAGTCCAGATTCCCTTTTTCTATTCGTCATCCTGCTTCCTATCGTTCTCCTCCTGCCCCTCCTCTTCCGCACCCTCCTTTCCGTCTCATTCTTCTCCCTCATTTTTCTCCTCTTGATCCTTCTCCTCCTCGTCCTCTTCCCCCTCTTCCCGTGCCCCGTATTCCTCGTTTTTATCCTCCCTCCTCGTCCTCCTCGTTTCTCCCCCTTGGAGGCAGCCAGGCTTCCGTTTTCCTCCCTCCTTCCTCCTCCGCGTCATGTTCCTCGTCTTCCTCGCAGGACCTTCCCGTGCGCTTCTGGGTCCGATACAGTCTGGCCCCTTTCATTTGTCTTATAGTAGACGACGGTTCAAGCACTGCGATTCCCATCCAGGTGCCCATGACGACACCGGACTCGGCGACTTGACGTGGATGTCAGATGTGACGATGCCAGATGTGTTGCGAGTGCACCTGGCTTGCCTCTCTCCTCTCTCTTCCACCCTTTCTCTCTCTCTCTCTCTCCTCTCATCTCTTCTCCACTACCTTTCTCTCTCATCTCAGCTCTCACCTCCCGCCTCTCACCCCTCATCTCTCACCCCGCACCCCTCATCTCTCACATCTCCTGTCATCTCCTCCAGCCCTTCTGTCTCTGCTTGCTCGCGTGCCCACACCGTCCCCTTCGAGCTTCGAGCTGCGGACCGTTCTGTTGCAGCAGCTAGGGCCCTCGCACCCTTCCCCCCTGCCAACGCCAGGTGGAGGGCAAGGCACGAAGCAGGAACCGACAGAACGGTCACCACCCACTTCCACCGCCTCCCGCAGGCCTCCTGGCTCTCCGCCCCCGACCTGGGCCGCAGGCGCCATGCTGGCGGCCGAGCACGTGGCAGCGGAGAGCATCGAGCTGATATGCCAGCAGGCGCACTTTGGAAGACCGCCGCGGAGGAAGGCTTGGGCGTCGCGCGTCGGGGGCGATAAGCGAAGGGGGGCAGCGAGGGCCGCCGAGCATGGGCCCTTTGAGGGCCCCATACAGGGGGCCCTCTCGGGTCCCGAAGGGTGCCTTTCGGGCCCAAGAAGTGCACCTCTTTCTTCCCCCCCGTCAGTCGCCCCCCGCGCCGAGTGACGCCCAGAAGGTGAGCAGGGAGGGGAGGCAGGGGACTTGGAGGGGACCGGGAGGGACTCGGGAGGAAGCGGGAGGGACGGGGAGGGAAGGTCGCGGGTTTCCCGCGCTCGAGCAGCGGCGGTGGCTGCGCCTGCGTGGGAGGCCTCGCACCGCCTCTCCAGTCCTTGCGCGGGCCCCGTGCGGGACGCGCCCCTGCGACGCCGCCCCCGCGCCCTCCTGCGGAGCTGCAAAGAGGCCTCGAGGGCGGCCTCGAGGGCGCGAAGAGAGATTCGCGCCTCTGGCTTCGCGCTCTGCGGTCCGGGCTCCGACGCCTCCTCATCCTTCTCTTCTCCTCTGCGGGGTAGCGCGAGAGCGAAGCTTCGCGCATCGCGAAGCGCGACCTTGGGCGCACTTTGGGGCCCGTTGCCGGCCGGCTCGCCCGTGTAGGCTACGTGGTCGTCGCCCCTGCCGTTTGTTCCCGCGGCCGTCTTGGCAGCGGCAGGTCGCCGTGCTCGGAAGCGTGTGCTGTTTCTCGGGATCGGGCCGGGTGGCCCTTCTCTCGGAAGCTGGAGCACATACATTACTGGAGGCGGGCTGGTTTGCACTCCCAGGACTTTTTGATTGTCAAGGACGACGTCGGGGTGGTGTGGTGTATACTTTTTCCCCGAAAGGGCGCCGGCCCAGGGCTCTCTTTTAGTATTGTTACCCCCGGTTTCGACTTGAAGGAGGCCAGCGGAATTATTTTGCGATCAATGACGAATTTGATGGAGGCCGGCTGAATTATTTTTGAGGACGTCTCAGGCGAGACGCTTGTTTTTCATAATTTGTTGAGGATGTCTCGAGCGAAACGCTGGTTTTGCAGAGTTTGGGGATGTCTCGAGCGGGGGCCTCATTGGGGCCAGAAATCAGAGGATGTCTCAGGCGAAGTGCTTGTTTTCACGTCCCGCTCGTAGGAATTCCGAGGATGTCTCGCGCGTGCTGCGTCCCGCGCGCAGGAATTTTGAGGATGTCTCGACAAATTCGTTTGTTTTTCCAGGATTTCCTTGGCCACACAGGGGGTATCTTACATGTTCTGCCCGAGCTGGAACCACGTCGCTTCACGTGTCCAGGGCACCCAGGTGGGTATCTAACATGGTGGTCCCGAGCTGGTACCACGTTTTCCCGTGTCCTGGCCACACAGGTGGGTATCTAACATGGTGGCCCCGCGCTGGAGCCCCGTGTTTTCACGTGTCCACGCCACCCAGGGGGATATCTAACATGGTGGTCCCGAGCTGGAACCACGTGTCTTCACGTGTCCAGGCCACTCAGGGGGTATCTAACATGGGCCTCCTGGATCTTTCCTGGGACTCGGAACGGAACGTCGAGAGCTTATTTGTATTTGGTATCGATTCGTTTACTTTTTGGTCTCCAGGCGCCTCTGGGCGTTCCTGGGCCCTCCTGCGCTCCAGGCGACCGCATGTTAGATATCCCCCCTGGGTGGGCTGGACCACGTGTTTTCACGTGTGCAGGCCACCCAGGGAGGTATCTAACATGGTGGTCCCGAGCTGGAACCATATGTTTTTACGTGTCCAGGCCACCCAGGGGGATATCTAACATGGTTGTCCCGAGCTTGAACCGCGTGTTGTTACGTAACCCAGGGGGGTATCTAACAGGATTGTTCTGAGCAAGGACCACGTGTTGTAACGAGTCCAGGCGATTCAGGGGTGTATATAGCATGGCTTCCCGAGCTGGCACCATGTGTTTTTAGGTGTCCAGGCCATCCAGGGGGATATCTAACATGGTTGCCCCGTGCAAGGACCACGTACTTTAACGTTCCGTAGCGCGTCCCCTCGGCACGTCCCGCGGTGCGTCCCCGTGGCACGTCCCCTGGCACGTCGCGTGGCGCGTCCCTTGGGACGTTTCGCGGCGCGTCCTCCTGGCATGTCCCCCTGTCAATTAGCTCTGGGGCAGCTACTATGTGCTGAGGCAGCTCGAGCTTAAGATCCAGATCTGTTCGGTCAGGACTCGGATGCAAAGGAGGATTCGATCCACAACGCTATAGAGTACACTCGCGGCATGGCACATCGCAGTTCAGCACAACACAGCACAGCACAGCCCTCGGCACGGTACATCAATGTCGATACACTCAGCATTGCAACCTGGCACGTTCCGTGGCGCGTCCCGTGGCGAGTCCCCCTGACGTCGCGCGGCGCGTCCCCCGGCACGTCCCGTGGCACGTTCATTGGCACGTTCCGTAGCGCGTCCCCTCGGCACGTCCCGCGGTGCGTCTTCGTGGCACGTCCCTTGGCACGTCGCCTGGCGCGTCCCTTGGGACGTTTCGCGGCGCGTCCTCCTGGCATGTTCCCCTGTCAATTAGCTCTGGGGCAGCTACTACTATGTGCTGAGGCAGCTCGAGCTTAAGATCCAGATCTGTTCGGTCAGGACTCGGATGCAAAGGAGGATTCGATCCACAACGCTATGAGTACAATCGCGGCATGGCACATCGCAGTTCAGCACTGCGCTGCACAGCACAGCCCTCGGCACGGTACATCAAGACCGACACACTCAGCATTGCGTTTGTCCGTCGCCCAATCAGGTGTCTTTGAAACGTTGCCATGCCTTACATGTCTATATTCCTTTCCGGGTTCGTGGGTCGATCATGTTTCCCCGTCTTCCCGGGGAAGCAGCGAGACATGTATACACTAGGATTCCGTATACACCAGGATCCGTTTTCTTACGCAAGTGTCAGCACAGATCCGGAAAACAGCGTCAGTATATACATATATATACATATATATGTAGTTTGCTACATTGGTCTATGAGCTTCTCTCGTAACTATAGGCAGGGTCCCCTCTTCCTCTTCCTTCTCCTCTTCGTCTTACAGTCGGGCGCTTCTGTTTTCTGCTTCACAGTCGTGGGGCGCTTTGTTTTCCGTGCCTCTTTCAATAATTACCGAAGGGCTGCCAATTGCGTGCTCTTCTGCCCACGCGTCCTTCCGGATGCTTGGCTCTGTAGCGGTGGTGGAGTTTTCTACCCTACTTTTTTATTTTCTGGGACATCTCCAAGAACTTTTTGTGGGCACCTCGGGAGCCGCCTGGGTCGTCTTGAGAGTCTCTTGGGCTCAAGGGGGACGGCACTGGGTAAAGTCCTCCCCTCCTGGGGCCAGGTTGGACGCGCGCATAGGCAGAACGTCTACTAGCGTTGACTCCAGAACTTATCGAATTGATTGTCCATTGGATTCCATTGGACTCCATTCGGCTCCGTTTGTCTCCATTGGACTCGAGTGGACTCCATTGGACTCCGTTGGGTTCCATACGACTGCATTGGACTCTGTTGGACTCCATTGCGCTCCATAGGACGTCAAAGGATTTGACTTTAGTAGGCTCCCGTGAACTCCACTGGACAACACTGGACTCAAGTGGAATCCGTTTGACTTCACAGGGTCAGCAACGTTGCTCCGTTAGACTCCGTTGGATTACCCATGCGACTACACTAGAGTCCATTGGACTCCACATGATTTCATTGGACCCCGTGCGGCTCCATTGGCCTCCTCGCAGGACTCCCCATGCGACTTCATATGATTCTCCATAGGACTGCATTGGACTCCACATCGGCATCATCGGACTCTATTTGAGTCCGTTTGACTTCATTTGTCCGATCGGCTTCATTGGACTCTTGGATTCCACATTGGTCGATCGGATTTCACTGGACTCCATATGATTCCATTCGACTCAGTTGACCACTCTGACTCCATTGGGCTCTATTGGCCTCCATTGGGCTACCCATACGACTCCATTTGACTCAATGGACCCCTCATTGGACTCCATTGGATTCCATACATCTCCATTGAACTTCATTGGATTCCGTCGACCTCCATTAGATCCCCCGTATGACTCCAGTGAAGCCCACTGGACTCTGTAGGACTTCGTTGGATTCCATACGACTCCATCGGGCTCCTTTGGACTCCGTTGGCCTCCATACGACTCCTTTGGAATGCATTACGCTCCATCGGTGTTCAGAGGATCCGCTTGGACCCCTATGTGACACCCTGCGACCCCAACTTTCAAAGGAACGCTGCCATGGGAGCGCGAACCCAGCGTAATGTACGAGGGAGGCCCTGGGAGCGCTGACGCAGCGTAATTTACGATGGATCGTGGCGCGTTCCCTGGCACGGTCTGTGGCGCGTCCCCTGGGCACGACGCGCGGCGAGTCCCCTGGCACGTTCCATGGCGCGTCCCCTGGCACGTCAGTGTGTGGCGCGGCACAGCGCAGAACGGCACAACAAAGCCTTTGACACAGTCTCATCACCATTGATGTCTTCAGCTGGGCCTTCACCCATCGCCCAATTGAGGTTATTGCAAACGTTCCCATACCTCGCTGTTCTGAGTCCCTTTCCGGGTTCGAGGATCGATCATGTTTTGGTGTGTATGGTTGCGCAGTAGTTGTTGTTGGCTTCGTTGTTGCTGCTGCTGTTGTTGCTGTTGTTGTTGCTGTTGTTGTTGTGGTTGTTGTTGTGGTTGTTGTTGTGGATGTTGATGTTGATGTTGTTGTTGTTGTTGTTGTTGTTGTTGTTGTTGTTGTTGTTGTTGTTGTTGTTGTTGTTGTTGTTGTTGTTGTTGTTGTTGTTGTTGTTGTTGTTGTTGTGGTTGTTGTTGTTGTTGTTGTTGTTGTTGTTGTTGTTGTTGTTGTTGTTGTTGTGGTTGTGGTTGTGGTTGTTGTGGTTGCTGCTGCTGCTGATGCTGTTGCTGTTGTTGTTGCTGTTGCTGCTGTTGTTGTGCTGCTTGCACCTGCTCGATCCTCCCTGCCCTTTTTGCCGCGATCGGCACCGTCGTCGCCATCGCCGTCGGGAGGCCTCGTTCGACCTCTCCGTGAGCATCCGTGTCCTCGCCCCCCATGCCGTTCTCGCCCGCCGATGCTGGGCCCCGCGGGCCTGCCCTCCGCGGGCGCCGCCACCGCCAGGCGGGGGAGCTCCTGTACGACCACTACCTGCAGCGGAAGGACCCGCAGTGCGGCGGGGGTGCGTGATAGGGGGGGAGGGGGAGGAGGAGGGTTAAAAGTCGGGCCTGTCCCTCTGCAGGAGGAACGTTCAAAACTATAGTCAAAACAGCGTCCGGGGACGATTTTCGTGGTATTCTCGATGATCTCGGGGTACTCGTTGACTGCGTTCTATTTTTCGTCCCGAATCCGCCTGTAGGAGGACACGCCCGACCTAAGAGGAGGCGCGAGGGGGACGATGGGGGCGCCAGGCCGGACGGGAATTCGGGCGCTGCGGGCCCTCTTCCATCTTTGCTGCCCCTGCCTCCCTCCTTCCATTCGTTGCCCTCCCCACCCCTCACCTCGTTCGCTCCCCCTCCTCCCTCCTCCTTCTCTTCTTCATTCTCCTCCTACCTCCTCCTACCTCCTCCTTCTCTTCTTCATTCTCCCCCTCCTGACCCGCAATGCAGCGGGGATGTGCAATGAGGAAGGAAGGGGGGGAAGGCGGGAGGGGGATGCTGCAAGGTTGGCAGGTTTTTTGTTCGGCTGGAGAGAGAATGACTAACAGTGTGGGCAGCCTGATGGGAGCGGCATCGTGCAAGCGACAGGCAGGTGGACAGGCAATGAGGCGTGGAGAATAGTAGCTCCTTCCCGAATGGCAGTTGCAAATCGGCAATCTGGGCTGTCCACATGACGTGTTAGTCGGAGAAGTGGCGCAGAAGGGGAGCAGAAGCTTGCAGAACAGGTACGGCCGGACCGAGGTATAAGATCGAGGTCGGTTCGGGGAGGGTGCCCTGATATTCTTCGTGCTTGTTGGATGTTCTTGTGCACCCTGGGGGAGGTCACCCTCGAATGTTGTTCGGTTTGGGCCGGCGGAGGATCTCATGTTCTTGAAGAGTGTTCTCCTGTCCCAGGTCCGACCGCAGAGCCATGATCGAAGCCTGCGAAGGCTCACGGGGGGGCTCTTGCTGGCACGGGGCCTCCACGCAGCAGAGGTGGGCCCCAGGAGCTTTTTCCCGGAAAGGGCTCGGGCCCAGGGTTCTGTTTTCGTGTGGTTACCCCTGGTTCTGACGGCTGTAGGGCCGGCGAACTCATTTTCGAGGATGTCTAGAGCGAAACGCTTGTTTTTTTTAGAACTTGTTGAGGATATGATGTCCAGGTGGGGGGCCGAAGTGCAGCCGGCCGGGGAGTCCAGGCTCCCCTGGCTCGCGCAGCAGGCATGCGAAGGGCCAGCGCCAGGTGCCGGTCTGGCAACACTTCGGAGGGAGCCAACAGGCCGCCCAGGATCAGGAGGGGAAACGACACACAGACACAATTCATCGTCCGCTCCCAGGAAAATATGGAAAAATATGGGAAGTGGGGGGAGACAAAAACCCAGAAAATAAGGGAAAATATGGGGAATCCCTTTCTTTGTGTGCATTTATTTGTGTGTCCCAGGGCCCCTTCACAAGAGCTGGCCCAGGAGACGTCCAGGGCCGTCCCAGAACGGGCTCCCCAGCAGTTTTCAGGAGACCTTTCGGCTTCAGGGCTCTAGAGTGGGCCCCCACGCCGACCTCTGGTCGGCACTGAAAGACGTCGCGTCGGCCCAGTGCGTCGGGGTCTGGACGGCTTGGACTCAAATGTACAGACATCGAGTTGTGGTGATGCGGTGGCGCCTGGCTATCCAGCAGACGTGCGAATAAGCAGTAACTTTCCGAACTGACCTATATGAGTATGTTCGCTCATGCAGGTGTATGCTCATGCGTACTACCATGTGTGAGCGAGAGAGAGAGAGAGAGAGAGAGCGAGAGCGAGAGAGAGAGAGAGAGGAGATCAACACATGTGTTTGTTTATTGTGACTTTCATACCGGCGACTGGACCGACGCGATAATATGGATTTCGCGATGATGGGGCTGTTTTGAGGCTATGGGAGAAATGAGTTCGAGGTGGGCCAGATGATCCCGTAGAGAATCGCAATCGGTTTCCTTTGGCGTATTTCCCGGAAAGGGCGGCTGTAGGGCCGGCGAAATTGTTGACGCTTCGCGAATCCCCACCAGCCCATCCAGAAACGATGCCCAGAGGAATTGCCTCGATCAGGGAAGTGGGCAGCACACAGAGGAAGCCATTATGAGACATCTTGGGATATCTTGAGCCATCTTGGAGGTCATTTTTGGCTCTCCCAGGCGCTCTTGGAGTCATCTTAATCAGTGTCCCCCCCAAGAGGCCAACATGTGGCTAAAACCTTTGTAAAATCAATGATTTGGCATTCTCGCCGAGGCCTCTTGGAGCATCTTGGGTGCCTCTTGGGGGTCTCTTGGGGCCTCTTGGGGGTCTTTTGGGGGCCTCCTGGGGGCCTCTTGGGGGCCTCTTGGGGCCATCTTGAGGCCATCTTGGGACCTCTTGGGGCCTCCTGGGCGCTTCTTGGGGCCATCTTGGAGGAAATCGATCAAAGAAGAGGGGAGCTTCAATTAGGGTTGCCCCCCCAGGAGGCCAACATGGAGCCCAAACCTTAGTAAAATCAATTATTTTGGCTTCCTCGCCGAGGCCGTTTTGGACGCGCTGACACCTCCCCGCCCCCCCCGTCCAGGTCCATGGGGAGGGGGTAGGGGGAGGGGTAAACCCCTCCCCGAAGGGGAAGAGGGAGGAGTGGAAGAGGAAACGCCCTAAACCACCGACGCCCAGAGGGCTGGTGGGATTATTTTGCGAGAAATAACGAAGTCGCGTAGGGCCGGCGGAATCATTTTTGAGATTGTCTCGAGCGAAACGCTCGTTTTCAGAATTTGTTGTGGATGTCTCGAGCGAAACGCAGCTTTTGCAGAGTTGGGGGGATGTCTCGAGCGAAACGCTGTTTTTCAGAATTTGTTGAGGATGTCTCGAGCGAAACGCTGGTTTTGCAGAGTTGGGATATCTAACATGGCGTCGGGCCCAACGCCGAATTATGAGGAAACGCACGGGGGGCTGAAAAGCGCCGGCGCTACCCGAACACATGTCCCAATACAGAAAAGTGATGGTTTCTTGCTCTGAACAGGGGGTGCGCTTTGGGGACCTCTCCAGGGAAGACGTTGCGAGGATGTTTCGAGCGGGAGCGCAGATTCAGCGTATCCAGGTCACGCAGGGGGGGTATCTCACATGACTGTCCCGAGCTGGAGCCACGTGTTTTTTCATGCTCAGGCCACCCAGGGAGATCTCTAATATGATTGTCCCGAGCTGGAACCATGTTTTTTTCGTGTCCAGGCCACCCAGGGGGTATCTAACATGGTTGTCCCGAGCTGGCACCGTGTTTTTACATGTCCAGACCACTAACACGACGGTTGTCCCCAGCACGTTCTGTAGCGCGCCCCCTTGGCACGTCCCGCGGTGCGTCCCCGGGGCACGTCCCCTGGCACGTCGCCTGGCGCGTCCCTTGGAACGTTCCGCGGCGCGTCTTCCTAGCATGTTCCCCTGTCAAATCGCTCAGGGGCAGCTACAATGTGGACTATGTGCTAGGGCAGCTCGAGCTTAAGATCCAGATCAGTTCGGTCATGACTCGGATGCAAAGGAGGACTCGATCCACAACAGTACAGAGCACAATCGCGGCATGGCACCTCGCAGTTCAGCACGGCGCAGCACAGCACAGCCCTCGGCACCGTACATCAAGATCGATACACTCACTCAGCATTGCAACCTGGCACGTTCTTTGGCACGTTCCGTGGCGCGTCCTGTGGCGAGTCCCCCTGGCACGTCGCGCGGCGCGTCCCCTGGCACGTCCCGTGGCACGTCCGTTGGCACGTTCCGTAGCGCGCCCCCTTGGCACGTCCCGCGGTGCGTCCCCGTGGCACGTCCCCTGGCACGTCCCCTGGCACGTCGTCTGGCGCGTCCCTTGGAACTTTCCGCGGCGCGTCCTCCTAGCATGCCCCCCTGTGAATTAGCTCTGGGGCAGCAACTATGTGCTAGGTCAGCTCGAGCTTGAGATCCAGATCAGTTCGGTCAGGACTCGGATGCAAAGGAGGATTCGATCCACAACGCTATGGAGCACAATCGTGGCATGGCACATCGCAATTCAGCAGCGCAGCACAGCACAGCCCTCGGCACCGTACATCAAGATCGATACACTCAGCATTGCAATTTGGCGCGTTCTTTGGCACGTTCGGTGGCGCGTCCCGTGGCGAGTCCCCCTGGTCGCGCGGCACGTCCCCTGGCACGTCCCGTGGCACGTCCATTGGCACGCTCCATAGCGCGTCCCCATGGCACGTCGCGCGGTGCGTCCCCGTGGCACGTCCCCCTGGCACGTCGCCTGGCGCGTCCCTTGGGACGTTCCGCGGCGCGTCCTCCTGGCATGTTCCCCTGTCAAATCGCTCTGGGGCAGCAACTATGTGCTAGGGCAGCTCGAGCTTAAGATCCAGATCAGTTCGGTCAGGACTCGGATGCAAAGGAGGACTCGATCCACAACAGTACAGAGCACAATCGCGGCATGGCACCTCGCAGTTCAGCACGGCTCAGCACAGCACAGCCCTCGGCACGGTACATCAAGATCGATACACTCACTCAGCATCGCAACCTGGCACGTTCTTTGGCACGTTCCGTGGCGCGTCCCGTGGCGGGTCCCCCTGGCACGTCGCGCGGCGTGTCCCCTGGCACGTCCCGTGGCACGTCCATGGGCACGGTGCACGTCCCGCGGTGCGTCCCCATGGCACGTCCCCTGGCACGTCGCCTGGCGCGTCCTTTGGGACGTTTCGCGGCGCGTCTTCCTGGCATGTTCCCCTGTCAATCAGCTCTGGGGCAGCTACTAGTTATGTGCTTAGGCAGCTCGAGCTTAAGATCCAGATCAGTTCGGTCAGGACTCGGATGCAAAGGAGGACTCGATCCACAACGCTATGGAGCACAATCGTGGCATGGCACATCGCAATTCAGCAGCGCAGCACAGCACAGCCCTCGGCACCGTACATCAAGATCGATACACGAAGCATTCAATTTCCCCGTCGCCTAATCAGGTGTCTTTGAAACGTTGCCATGTCGTACATTTCCATATTCCTTTCTGGGTTCGTGGGTCGATCATGTTTTCCCAG